GGCTGGCTGGGGAATTCTGGGAGTTGAAGTCCACTCATCTTAAAGTGGCCAACTTTGGACAGCACTGTAGTAGGGCTATTCCAACCCTGCCCTACCACCTTGCGCTGGGCAGGCCAAAACATACCTTTTTGATGTATGCTGCAATATCCTTCTCTATATTGTACTTCTCCATGGCCTGCGTGGCACAGTCAACAGCATCCTGCTGCATGTCCTCAGACATGTCAGCATTCTTGATCACAGCCTTTCTGTCAGACATGATGGACCTGTGGGAAGAAACCAGAGATGGAGGCTAAGCCACAATTCAACCTATCCCAGATCTGCTTCCAAGAAAGCACCCAGGAATTGCAGTCTTGTTTTGTATCTGCTGGGTAAGGATGTATAACTGTAGATATTCTGCGGAGGAAGCCAAACTTCCATATCCCTGCAAATATATCTATTATTCATTGAGGTCACTGAGGAATTCAGTCCCAATAAACACAGGAACAATTTCTCACAAGTGCACAGGCAACTATCAGCTTCACAAGCCAATCTGAAAAGTCACTAATCCACAAAGAATACACCATACAGGTAGATCTTGCTTAATGACCGTTTAACAATGGCTCGGAGTTACAATGGCCTTGGAAAAAGTGCTTTACAACCTGTACTCGCACTTACGGCCGTCACAAACTGCTGCACCATGCCCCACGGTCACGTGATTGTGATTTGCTACGTTTTTATGATGGTCGTTAGCCAAATCCCCACGGTCACTAAATAAATCACGTGGTTAAGCAAATTCCAGCAAAAAACATCCATTGGGGAAGCTGGATTCACTTAACGACTGTCATAAAAAGATCATAAAATCAGCTCCAGTCATGCAACAATTCACTTAATGACCAAATCGCTTAGCGACCTAAATTCTGGTCCCTATTGCAGTCAGATAACGAGGACTACCTGCACTTTAGATCAGCCTTCACCAGTCTGGTGCCTGTTGGAATTCCCATCCATCATGGTCTACCTAGGAATTCTGGGAGCTCACCTGAATGGTGATACTGGCTAGGTTCACACCTATCATATTAAAAGCTAATCACATGCCACAATGCGTGAACAAGTTCATTGTGGATTAACATACCATAATTAATTCATACGTTTAAAATGCTAGGTTAGCAAGGTATGCAGATTCAGCAAGTGAGGGGGCTTCCTATTGCATTAAGCAGTAATATGGTTTTGATTTAGCAAGTATGCAAACTGAATCAGTGTGGCTTATAAATCAATGGGGCTTAGTTCAATATGCCAACTTCAACAAACAATGGTTGAAACAAACCAGGACTTCACTGCACAGAGAAATCTCCAATTTTATACCCCCACTAGTCTTTGGGACCTATCAGATGATTTGCAGGAAGACAAGAGGTTCAAAGGGTACAGCAAAGTTGTCCAGTAAGCAAAGCAGCTATTTTATTTACCAGCCTGAAATCCATACGGTGCTCTACACAAGCATCTGAAATAAGCCATGATGATATAAAATAATAACGTGCATCATAACATCACTGTGCAAATAATCCAAGGTGCATCTGGTGCAAATTGTGGACATTTGCATCATGATACAGGTTGCCTTTTCGTTCTCTTGCAAGTGCCTGTGGAGTTTTCATGTTAGAATGCTGCCTTTAAATAGAGGTTGCTGAACTGCCAGGAGAGACACACCCACAGCCAGTGTGTGCTCCCTTTTATCAATTCTGTCATTCATTCATAGCACTAATATCTGAAGCAGGTCAGGTTGTTGCTTGCAAAGACTAAGATCACTTCGCCCAAGTTGACCTATTAATGCTAATGAAGGCCAAATGCATCTCAATGTTCAACCCTGAAAATCCAGGTAGGCAAGACTACCAAATCTCAAAGACGAAGATCAGCGTTATCTCAAGTTGTCCTAGAAATACGCATGCTCTGTAAAAGAACAGTTACTATAAAGTAGCAAGTATGTTCCTGGACTGAAACATTTCAGAAGGCTACTGAACCACCCTTTGGGAACATGCCTGAGACTGGAAAGACCGCTGACCCCTATGCTAAGCCATGATGTACTATGGCCTGCTATGGCTTAGGAAACTGTCCAGATCCAGCCATGGTGATCGCTAAAGCATGGTTTATCACCTTGTGATTAATGTGGTTTATTTCAATGAATTGAACCCAATTCTCCACACTGCTGAGGCCTCTTTATAGGTTTGCTGAGGAATTACTTTTTTGTCCCCTTCTAATTTGTAAGCGCTTTAATATGACGGCTTCTGCATCGCCCCCCCCCTCAGATTCTCTGTCCTAGATTCCTACCTAGTTCCATAAGCAGGAGAACTTCCTTGTTCTATATCCAGAAGCTCTGTTCACTCCAACTTTTTCCTTTTCCCTCCACATCCTTCTAGTTGTGATCTCCACTCACTCAATTCCATTTTCTAAAATCCTGCTGAAATAGCACAGCGGCTATGCTCGTTGCTTAGCACATATGGGAAAACAGGGGGAAGGATCAGTACGTAGGTAGCCTTGAGCTCCTGAAATAAAGGCAGGATGTAAAACTAAGTACTCAGTCAACAACCTCTATCTAATCCTAGCACTTTGCTTCAAACCATTCTCCAAAGACACTTTCCCCAGGACCTGGGTTGATACCCTTCATTACATCTGAACTTAAGATGTACCAGAGACAAATATACTCCCATTTACTCTCATTTCTATTTCCTTCTCCAGCACGAAACTCTTGACTGCAAGCTGCTAAGCGCAGAGATCTTCCCACCTCTTGCACTTCAATAAAGCACAATGCTAACTGCACTGCACAAACAGGATTTAATGTTCACCTGCTTACAAGGATGTGAAGCATGGGGTTGTGTGTGAAACTTCACCAACGCTTGCTAAAAGCTAGAGTTCCAAAGGCTTAGGGTCCTCACACTAAGTCGCACAAGTGCTGCCCACTGAAATAGCTCGATCATGCACAGGTTTGTCCGTGGACAGCTGCTCATGGGCATCGATAGTTATTTATCCACACTTATTCAGAAAGTAGCTTTGTACTCAGCTGTCTAAGCAGCAGACATGGCAGGACTAGGAAGGATTTGATTCATGGAGTTGGTGCTCTCTCTCCTGCTCAACACACTGACATTTCAGCTTTTAAAAGCAGATCCAGAGAAACTAGATTGTAGCTCCGTGAGTAGGTGGGGGATGTCTACTGATGAAATTCCCAACACATTGACAGATGTAGAGTTCCCATCGAAGAAGGAAACAGCAGTTAAGCCAGAGATTGTAAATAAATTACTGGTCCACATATCAACATTCTCTGCTAATTATGGCACACCCTACAGCAGTGTTTCCCAACCTTGGCAACTTTTAGAAGTGTGGAATTTAAATCCCACAAATTCCCCTCCAGCAAGATTTTTTGAGGTTAAATTCATACAATTTTAAGAT